TATTTTCTGATGGAGGAATAAACCAATTGGAATTAAATAAATAAATAAATAAATGGCGTTTATTGCCCAACAGTTAAGGAAACCATTTACAGGACATATAAAGAAAAAAACAAACAAGAAAAGAAGCAGAAAAAACATATTTCACTCAGGTGAGTAACATATCATAAATTATCCAAGCAATTTCTAGCTACTTCCAGAATGCTGTTCACACTGTCAGCATGTATATCACAATAATTTGATATTGGATTGAAAGTTTCACACATCATATATATGGGTGCCTTCAAAAACAGATTTGTGCGAGCCCTGTCGCAATAAAATGTTTTAGCTGTACGAGTTTTAATAGATGGAACATTAAAGTTTATTTGAGCCACAATCTCATTAGCATCAATTTGATTATTCAGTAGTTTATGCAAGAACATAATTGATGCACACTTCCCTCTCAGTTCTAAAGACTGCACTTGAAACCTAGACAATAACAAACTCTCAGATATACCACGTTCAGGATATATACCGTCAACATTAAAAGAAAACATTTTTGAAACTTTCGCTGAAGATGCTCAAGAAAATCAATGTAGCAGTTGTAAATTGGGTTCCAAATTAACGATGCATATTCCAATTTCGATCTAATATATGCAGAATACAAAACCAACAGGGCGGCTAAAGCTTCTACAGTTTCTCATAATAAAACCGTACGCCCGCGAAGCTTCACTCACCTTTTGAGCTTTGTGGAGTAAGAAATTAAGTTTATGGTCAAAAACTACACCCAAATCCTTAATTGAGTTATAACGATTTATGTAAGTATCCCCAATTTTATAATTAAATTTACAAGCAGAAGCTTTCCTGGAAAAGCTGACTACACTACACTTAGACGCATTAAGAAATAAATTATTCTCGTCACACCAAGCTACTAGAAAATCAATATCACGCTGAAGTGCAATACAATCAGTCTCAGACTCAATAATCCTGAATAATTTAAATTATCTGCAAAGAGCAGCTTTTTACAACTTAAATAATGCACAACATCATCAATAAATAAGGTAAACAATAAAGGACCAAGATTTGAACTCTGAGGCACTCCCGATTTAGTCATATACTGGTACGACTTGAACCCATTAAAAGTAACATATTGCTTCGTTTCAGGAAGATAACTTTGAATGAGTGCTAAAGCTGATGAATGGAATCAATAATAAAATTTTTTTCAAAAGTATGCCATGGTCCACCCTATCTAACGCTTTAGCAAAATCGGTATATACTACATCTAGTTGACCTTGCCGATCGACAAATTCAATAGCGAACTGAGTGAAGATTGTTAAATTTGTTACTGTGGATCTCCTGGTAAGAAAACCATGCTGAAAAGGAGACAGAGATCTTTGAACTACGGAGTAAATTCTATTACGCAATATTATCTCCAGCAATTTGGAGAAATTCGACAATATTGCCACCGCTCTATAGTTTTTAATATCAGTATTATCCCCTGATTTGTAAATAGGTGTCGCTCTAGCAAGTTTCCAAATATCAGGGAATGTGTTGGTTTCAATAGTCAGATTGTATATTTTTAATAACGGCTTAACAAAGACATGAATACAATCTTTGACTATGAACGAGGGGATGTTGTCTGGGCCGGCCGTTACTCTATTCTTGAGTTTTTTAGATGCAGCAATAATCTCATTTTTATGAATTTTATTGAAAAATATGTTAACCTGACTAGTAGGATTTCTGCCTTCAATACGAGTAGATGGATCAATAAAAACACTATTAAAAAAATCTGCAAATGCATTGACAGCACAGTAAGGATCGTTTAGTGAGACGTCATTCAACTTCATTTTACCAGGAATCCTAGTAGTTCGATTTTGTGTATGCATGAAGCTCCAAAAATGTTTAGGATCTTGACAGATGGATATACCAACATTACGTGTATAATTTTTATAGGCCACCGATATTTGACGCTTTACCTCAGATCTAAGACGTTTGTACTGCTCATGTAGATGTAGATGGTTATTGTGACTTTTTTTGTACTTCTGGTATAACTTTACTTTATGCTTGACTTTCCTAATAATTTCGCTGGTGTACCACGAAGGGTTGGATGTATATGCCGACTATGGATAAAACGTAGCAATGCATTTCAAACCAAACTACGATGTCTGAAGCTAAAAGCAATTTTCTCACATCGGACAAAACTCTCAGCGCATGATGCAACTTTGTCGCATTCTACGTTTGAAGTTTGGAAGATTTCTTACACCTTCTGTTCATTAAAGTATTTTTTTTGACGCTATATATATGTTATTCTTCCTTCAAAAATTTGACAGTAAAATAGATCAGGGTAGCAATCGACATAATTATAAATATTAGTGACATACATCATGCCTCACTTGGATACGTCTATGTTAAAAACCGTTACAAAAGTTCTTACTATAAAAATATCCACTGAGGAAATTTTCATTACGCTTGAATATACTTGGCTAGTTAAAAATGCTGTATTCTTCAGAAGTTGTAACTTCTAAAACTTCTCAGCAACCATCCAGCCAGCTCTATGAAATATCCTGACGTAAACCTATTAAGAAGTTAGATAAATTTCCAAGAATATTCTTCTTTCGCAAGAGAAGTTTTATTTGTAAAGTGATTGTGTTTAAAAATTGTGATGAAATCACCTGCACAACGTTTCGTAACGAATGAAATACTCGCTACCTAGATAAAATTGCATCTTCAATAGCTGATTAGCTGAACTGAAAACTTATTAAGTCAGAGCTTTGACGCGCAATTTCATCTTTAAACTTGAAAATAAACCTTTCAAAGGCAAATATTGATATTCCGTCGATGTAAAAAGTTTTGGGAAAGATCAGTTCCCCAATAGCGCTATCATCATTTAGCATTTCAGAAACATTTTGTGTAAAACGCGCCATCTGTTCAACTGAAATTTTCTAAGGTCGACAAACGTATTTCAGCTGGATGTCAAATTCGTTTACTTCCTACGCCACTGGCAAAGAAGTATTGTAATCGCGAAGAATTGCAAAAAGAGATATTGTGTTCTTTGGATATTTTACAGGGTGCGGCATAGAGGACGGACGTTTTTGGGATGGGTAGTACTCTCCACCTCCGTCTACGAGAGAGGTGGGGAGGGTACCGTTTGACTCGTGAGATCCTAGCATTATTTTACCAGTTGTCGTTATGGAGCCTTGGACGGTGGAGCACCGCGTTTTCGCCTATGATTGTTTCGTCCGAAATAATGGGTCGGTCATCGTCGTGCAGCGTGAGTTTCGTCGCCACTTCAACATTCATCGGAACAGAGCTGTTCCCTCTCGAAAAACCATCCTTCTTTGGGTTGAATCACTTCGCAGGCATGGTGAACTGATCAACAGAAGACCAAGAAGAGCGCCGCGAACAGTTCGAACTCCTGAAAATGTTGAACGCGTTCGACAGGTCTTTCTTCGCAGTCCGACTCGATCTGCCCGGAAACATGCTGCTGCACTTCGCCTTAGTGATCGTTCGGTAAGGCGAATTTTGCATATGGATCTCCGCTTTCACCCCTACAAATTGGCCATTGTGCAACAGTTACAGCTCGGAGATTAGGCACAACGAATGCACTTCGCACGTGAGATGGGAGGACTGATCGATCAAAATGAGACCCTCATTTTGTTTATGAGTGACGAAGCCCACTTTCACCTAAACAGCATGGTTAACCAGCAGAATTGTCGTTACTGGGCTAATGAAAATCCGCAACAGTTACATGAAAGACCACTGCACAGCCCAAAAGTAACGGTTTGATGCGCTGTATCGCAAACTTGCATCATTGGCCCTTACTTCTTCGAAGACGGTAATAGTCGTGATGTTACCGTGAACTCAGAGCGCTACGTCAACATGATCACCAACTTCTTTCTCCCTGAATTACGACGGCGACGTGTTCCAATCCGACGTGTGTGGTTCCAGCAGGATGGGGCGACCGCCCATACAGCCCGAGCATCAATGGACGTTATTCGCCCTCTCTTCCCTGGTCGCCTTATTTCCAGATTTGGCGATGTTCATTGGCCTCCTCGGTCCCCAGATTTATCCATATGCGATTTTTTCTTATGGGGACACCTCAAGGCTAGAGTATACGCGAACAAGTCCCGAACTCTGGACGAATTGAAGGGCGAAATTCGCGTGGAACTCGCCCAAGTTGAGAGAGCGATGTTAGAGAGAGTCTACGCGAACTTCCAAGAACGCCTCTAGCACTGCATCAACGATTTCGGCCACAACATGCCTGATGTGATTTTCCACACTTGACTGTCTCAAATGCTATTTCCTTGTGAACCTGATTCCATCAATAAAATTTGTTTTCGAGTAAAAATTAACCATTTTATGTTTTTTTTAAAACCGTCCATCCTCTCTGCCGCACCCTGTATAACATGTAAATCACTAATTTGCGCCGATCTGTCTGTAGGTCTGTCTGTCCGCTATTACTTGACCCGTTTGGTACCTCTCGGATATTGTTGAAATTTTCAGATATGCCAAGAACAAAGCAGCATTCTAGTTTTTGAAAATCGATCCAGTGGCGGCACAAGCTACAGGCAGGAAACGAAAAGAATAAAAAAACGCTCAAACTACGTTTTATGACGGTTCAGAGGATCCTGATTATTCTCAGAAAAATTTTTGCACAGACTAAAAATCAGATATTTTAGTTGTGGGGTTGAGGGAGAGTTGGTAATGGCAATTTAAACGCACCTATTAGACATATTTCATGCGTCCTGGGTTTCCCGGTACATTTGCCCTTAAAACTTGAATTATAAAGATATATTTTCGATATAAGCATGCCGGCCAACTCAATGACCGTACGTCTGTCTACTTCGGATGCTGGAGGATAGCTTAGTGATGATGGGTGTATCCGTGTATGCAACTCCGTGCTGGATTTGCAAGTCCTGTTGGTCGGACGGTAGACTAGATCAGATTTTTGCAAACTTTTATTCTATGAATTGGTGCCTAAGAAGTGCAGAGTAAACCTACTTGACTAATTTTTTTTCTTTCAGGCTTCTGGGCTTCAGGAGGGCAATGCCAGTAACAGGACGGATCCTCAACATGACAACTGAGCTGTATCAGAAGGCAGACGGGGATCTGCTGTACACGTTTTTCATTTCTCCAAGTGACAATATGTGCTTCCATGGGAAATGTTCTTATTATTGTGATACATCGCATGCTATTTGCGGTCACCCTGATACGTTAGAAGGCAGCTTTGCGGCATTTTTACCTCCTAGTAAGATTGCACCGACAAAGGTAAGTAGGAATTAATCTTTGACCATCTCCCCCGGTTCTGCATTTCAATTAGGCCGTGTTATATACATCTAAAATTTCGTTGTTGATAATGTGGAACAATCTACTGAGAGGAAGCCTTCCCCCAACTCTCCCAATATTCGTTAAAAACCCGCATAAACATGCTCTCCTTTGCGCCTTTATAGCAGTCCCACGACTCTGGTAGTTATGGTTTTCTTTAGATTACGTTTAAAAGAACGTCCGTAACTTCTGGATTGATCCTTCCGATTGATATAATCGTAGACCGCGTACACTCTGATTTCCAGTTTTAATACGTCGCCTCGCTCATATAGTTGTAAAGAAATAAAATAATGAAGTCAGAAAGTCAAGAACTTTCTCAAGTTTCTTATTTTCCTAGAGCGGACGTATCTTTTAGGAACACATTATTTATGCATTCCAATTCGTAGAATATGTAAATGAAATACCGAATCGTTCACTGAACGGAATTGATTACTTGTCTCTGGACTACCCGCTCAAGTTTGTACAAAAGGAGGACGAATTTAATCTCGTTGTATTCCTCCTTTGGCCATGAGTGAAGTTAGGTTATCAGTTATAAAACCTTTATTTCCTTTGTTATCGTGAACATTTTTGAATTGCAGGTATCAACTTTCTTGATATTTTGAGCTCACTAGGTCCCGAAAATCGATGTCATTTATTTACTTACTAGGTCTGTCTATAGGTCGGTCTGTTGGAATCTTTCTTCATTCACAGTAGTATCTCACAATTAAAAATCGATCCAGTGGCAGCGGAGTTTTTGGAGGAAACAGCATTATGGACACAATCCGGTCCTCGTTCTTGATTGCTCTTTAAGTGCATCACCGCAAGGGGACCCTATAGATAACTGGTAACTATGTCAAATGCAGCGGTGATTGTTCAACTACACAATTTAAAAAAATAACTGCAAGCATACGTTCTTTTGTTACTAAACTAAATTGTTTAATATTCTGCGTAGGGCCCTAAACCTTAAATAGCTATGTGACAACTTACAGGTTTTGAGAGTAACTTCTATTTTTTAAACCTATAACACATACTTTTCACGGGTGATTCCCGCTTCTTTTTTTTATATCGAAACAGCCTCGCAGGCCGGAACACCGCGGCTGCTATGATGATCCCAAAGAAATTTTTTTAATACGATTTTTGAACTGCCTAAGGTTAGTAGAACTGGGAAAAGCTTCCTCCCGTAGATTGTTCCACAATCTAGACACCCTCGGGACAAAGGAGCGGTCGTATCGGCCAGTTCTGGATGTACGAAGCTTGACACGGTTAGGGGATATGAGGGATAAAAAACAAGTTATTCTCTAAACCTGTAAGCTGTACCATAGCTATTTAACTACTACGACCCTCAGCAGTAATAAAAGAGAAACGTTTGGTTGAAATTCATTTTTTTTACCTTAAATTGCGTATTTGACCAAAGGTCGTGGTTGCCAGTTATCAACACGGCCTCCTTTTCCGCCGTTACCATCGTTCCTTCAGGAGACTCAAATATTTTGAAATTTCGGTCACGTCTATCAAAAATGATTTTCAACGACCATTGCTGTATCGAAGATTTCTCGTTTGTTCATAGGAAATTATTACGTGTAGAACATAGGAATGTGTAGGAAGTACTAAGCCAATTTACTTTACTGGACACTACAGTATATAATATCGTGTTATTGTTGGATCCCAGGCAATCCCGCTCAAAAAATTCAAGTAAAATTCAATTGTTCAAAACACTTTTTCTAAAATTGTATTTTACTTCCCGTTTATACATGATGGATGCATCGTTATCCTAAAAATTATTGAAGTTCGCATTGAATAGAGTTATTTAGCTTCCGTTTTTACTTTCGCAGTGGTCAATTCTGGTAATAGATGGCACTATGTGCTGTCTTATTTCCGATCGCGATACGAGGAGTGATCTACACAATTTTAAAACTTGACAGGCCCATTTTATGGGCATATGTCAACAATAATACTTTCATCATCTGTGTATCGAAGATTCGTAATTTGTACGCTTGGAAAACCTTAAAATAGATGTAATAATTACATGGGAATTACGAAATCAATCTACGTCACGCCATTTTTTTATAATGTGCGCACTTTTTGGGCTAATTCCGGATTTGAGAGATTAGTCTTTCTAACTCTGCCATGCGCCAACTGTATGAATTTATTCCTGAGGTAGAAGCAGCTTTCTGCCTGAGTTTACTCTGATTTTGGAAGAAAGTAACCATTTCGGTATATGTGAGAATAATCGAATTTTGAGACCTATTCTGGTTTTGAGAACGCCTGGCCCCTCGTACGTCTAGCTGCGCCCGTGTCTCCAGCGTAGGAAGTTATTCCTGTGGAAGATGTTATCTACCTGATTTTGCTTTGAGTTCGGAATAAAGTAACGGAAACCCGATTTGCGGATTATTACAGGTAACCGAAGACAAACTCTCGCTTTCGCATCCAGGGAGTTTTCACTGAGACGGAAAGTACATACGGTAAGGGTACGGAAAGGAATTGAGGATATTTGAGCAGGATTACTGGAGTGACTGTACTTGAAGATAATTGGAACCATGAATATTTCATGCTCTGTACAGTGACAGCAGTGATGTCAGGTCTAGGGATATGTCCTGTGTCTATGGACAATTAGCGCCAATACATTGTATTTGCTGGTATGGGGCTATTCTCGGGACATCTTACTTCATGAAATGAGTATGTTTTTCCGCTTCTGTTCTTTAATGATATTTTGTACAAATGTAAGGCTTAGCTCCTTTTAACGCTTGCCCAAAAGGTCATATACAGGTATACAAATAGATTATTCCCGTACCTTTCTGAATTAACATCAATTAACATAAATACTAGTGGACATGGACAACTCTTCAGCATGGTGTAGGATTACTTTCAGTGGACAAAACTGAGTACCTCCACTCTATTCGAAATAAGACTGCACAAAGTGTCCAACAATTTTATCAGAATCGCGGCGAAACCAGGCTCTCTGTTGGCACTGTGTGGCAGTTCGGATTGTCAGCCTGGTCACCGTTGTGGCCGCCTGATGCCGCCGATTGTGGTGCTATATAGTATATATGTTCTACTTGTCACTGAATAAACTAGTAATATAGATGTTGTTCGTCCAACCACAGACGGTCAACCATGGGCAGCTGTTGCGTGCTATTTGGAATCACTATGATACATCTCACACGCACATACATAATGGAATCTGCCTCTGTGCGCGATCTTTTGTTTGTTTAAGCTCAGACATACGCTCTTGAATATCGTCTCACCACTTCAAACATTTTTTCGACAACTTATGACTTTTCCTAATCTACGCTTGTCACTGCCGGTCTGACATGGGCGTACCATTTTGAGTTTGTTTTTCATTGATCTTCGTAATTTGAAACATAGCAGTAACTGAAGATACAACTAACGGACAATATCCATTCGTTTTACAAAAATGATTGGAGAATGTTGGAAAAGTGAACAAAAGCAATGAACGTTTATTAATCAATCAAGTGTGCAAAAGCAGCTGCGTTTGCACAGATGAATTGCAGTGTGCAATTTTCCTGTGGAACTACAGTTAGCCGATTTGCTTACTTATTTCGTATGCCATTGATGCTATAACCGCTAGAATACTTGAAAACAGGCATTTTTGTCTGAAAGCAGCTGGCGACACTGAGCGAGAAAAACTCATCATCTAAGTACACAAAATGGACGCAAGGTGCGGCATCCACACATGAAACCTCTGACCTCCGTTAGTGGTGGGGGATATATTACTGTGAAAGTTAGATCCAATTTGGGTGGACTGTGATGCCTCAGGGCCTGTGACATTTAAACATACACAAATCTGAGTTTCAAACGAAACTTTTTCTTTCAAAGCATTATTGGAATTCCTGTACGGTCGTTGAAACTAATCTGTTCTTAACTACATTTTCTCACTAAATATCTGCGAAGAGATTTTCAATCCAAGATATTCCAAGATATTTTTGCAATTTCCACACAGCTTCATTCTTTCTTATGTTGTCATATTTAACGATACTGATTGAACATAGGAATGAATGAATTACATAATTGTATTTAATAAAGACTTTTGGGACCAAGTATTCATTTTCAAAAAAGTTCAACATTTGCGTATACCTTGCGGATCTAAGAAACAAGCTCAGTTCGTGAAATAGATTAATATTTTTCAAACCTTATTTCTTTTATTTATTGAAGCAGTAGCAACAAATCGTTCATTCTAGAGGATCACCAATACTATAATAGAGTGGAAGACTTATTTCACGTTGAAATGTCAAACAATTTTTCCCCGTACCCTATAATCAAGCTTTCAAAAGTACTCTCAGCTCTTATTTAAATGTTATCCCCTGCTCCTCTGAAATTACGAAATATAATGGAAATTGGGTTACCCTAAAGTTTTCGGGTCGTATTACTATTCCTACGTAGGTACATCCGAAACTTTCTGTCGTTGTTCCCATGCCGCAGAGATAGCCAAAATGTTATTTGAGTATTCCTCATTCAACGAATACGATTATACAACGTAGCTCATAATGAGTGTGTCAAAAACCCATCTAGCCTAGCAAAATAATATTCTTTATAAGATATATGCTATTTAAGTTTGATTTTGAATGTCGTTTTCTTTTCTCTATAACTCAAGATCTGATAGCTACTTTCAGGTGAGTAAGCTCGACAGACCTACATATCTATGGGCTTTTTCCATCCGAAGTGTGAGTATCACTAAAAAACACACAAAAAGATAAATTTGTATAAAATTGTGATGGCTCTTAAACTCCTCAGTTCACCTCTATCAAAAAACACACTCTTATTTTAAATCTAATCAGGATTACCAACTCTTAGGTATCTAGCAGAAAACTTCAGGGAATATTAAGCAAACTTGCGAGTAACCCTAATCCAGCCCTGTTATAAAATCAGTCTTTAACTGACATATACTACTTATACATCACCTCCCTGTTAAATTGTAAGTCTCAAGTAGAAAAACAAAGAACTTTCAT